GGTAAGGGGGGGTGTCTGTGCCCGGGCACTTCTCCCGAGCTCTGGGTGCCTGGGGGGGGGGCTGAGGGCTCGCCCTCCTGAAAATGCTCGGTTTGTACTAAAATAGGAGACACTGACGGACCGGAGGTGGGATCAGTTTTTCCGTTAATACAGCCCTTGTTTTGTGCCTTGGCCGCGATGAAGGATTTTGTCAGGGTGAAGTCGGTCCTATTCGTGGTCTCGATCTCAGCGCAACTTTAATTCAGAACAATATGAAAGAGATTTCTGTGTGCCCGAGTTGGTATGCTGGGCGCGGTGAAGGCTGTCAGGCTTTCTGGTGCTTTTTTTGCCTGTTTGAAATGTCTTTGTCAGTGCATCATTTGGATCTATGCTTATTAAAACAAAATAGAAGCCTGTTTTCTTCCTGCCGCTGTGGTTGTCTTTTACTGGTTTTTCTATATGCCCGTGGACCGAGTGTATTACAGCTCTGATATGAGACTGTTCCAGGGTAATTTGACCACCAGTGCTCCTTTTAGGAGCACTGTGTAGTCAGCTAACAACAAATGAGATGAAGCCATTTATATGAAAATTTTAAAAGAAAGAAACGTGCTGTACTTCTCTGGGTCTTGTATTTATTGGTTTGTTGGTTTTGGGTTTTTTTAGAGGACAAAAGCCCTTGGGGGGGGGGGAAGTGGCAATACATTCTTGAGAAAGAAGCTTAGTTTATTAAGTAAAACCAATTACAATTGCTTTCCCTCAAACTAGGATTCCTGCCCTTTTGGTACTTACAAGGAAATTGTTCTGGGTTGCCTCAAACCAAATTGTCCAAGTATTACAGATGAAGAGGCCCACTGAAGGTTGAGGCCAAGATGATACGGTGTCCGAGGGAATTTACTTGCTGCACTGTGTAATAATTTGTATTTTGAACTTTGTGTAAACAGATTTGCAGGAGGGGGACACGACACAACAGGCATAATAGCTTTTCATATGAGCTTATATTTTGAGAACTTAAACTGCTGAAGAAATGGATACTGCTGTGCCAGGTAAAACATGCAGAGATCTTAGGGACACCGTGGTTTACCGGGGCAGGAGTGTCCTTCTATATCAAGAATAAATATTTAAGGAATGTCAATGGACTTTAACGGACTTAACTTGTAAAGATATAAATGGATGCAGTATTGCTGGTTTCAGCATGCCCTCTGACAAGGTACACTAGCAGAAAGCTTGGCTCAGTGGGCTTTTTTTTTTTTTTTTAGTGTTTATTTGTCAATACACACTTAAGACTGTTGGTCAGGTCAGAAGTGACAGAAAACCTCATGACCATAGTAGAAAGGATTCTCTCTCACTGCAGAACTAGGCCATAGTCTCAATTTGACCCTCCGGTTTTCCTCTTTCGTTGGCAACAGAAGGCTTTTAAATTGTAGAGTAAAGTTCTCCAGGCCTGAGGGAATATTTTGTGGTGTTTGGAAAGTGTGGCTAGGTTTGAAGGTATTCAAGCTGTGTGGAATTATGGCTATACTACTGTCTGGTGTAATCCTCTTTTATTGTGTGAGTGGAGGCTTTCACTAGAGTCTGTTCAACTAGAAATGTATTTACCCACCTTGGAAGGAATTGGCCATGCTCGAATACTTCTTTCTCTCTTTTTTGCCTTCGCTGAATTGTTTACTGCTTGAGTTCGTGCTACTGGGTCCGGATTTTTCACTGTGAAGTATGTGGCAGGAAGAGGGAGAGAGGGAAATCCTGAACGTTAAGGAGGAACCATGGCTCTGCTACTTGTGTAGGTATTTTCTTGTCAGTCCATGTGTATCTAGGTTGTAGCATTATTCCAAAGTCCTTAGATTCATAATTTCATTGTGGCATGCCAATTAAATCATGATTCCTGAGTCAATTCTCTGAGGTCACTTGTATTTTCAGTGGCAAAGTTGACTAAAGCCTATTATTCCGTAACTGAAAAAACCTTTGTTCTCCTTGTTGCAAGGGAAACCCAGCTCAAAAACCGATGTTTTGTTCACAAGGAGGAGGATTTGGAAAACCACTTGGCTTTCTTGCTAATAGCTAAAAATAGGCACCTTCCAGCCTTAAAGGGAATGTATTCCTGTGCAGCATTTGAGCAGGATTGTATATGTCATTGGGGAGGGGTGTATCTGTCTGTGTGCTCATGTGCACGTTCATATTTTGCTGGGGTAATGTGCATGTACAGTGTCCTTCACACTGTATCCCCAGGTATGTGAAAATGTGGCACTGAAGAGCTAAACTGCTGCTTTTTCTGTCTGTAAGGTTGTTTTTGAAGCCTCTGGGCTTTTAGCGCTTGAACAACGAACATCTTGTCTGATAGAAAGAGGAAGGAAGCCAATTGTCTGGTAGTCCCAGTCTTTTAAAATTGGGGTTTGTCTTTTTTTTGTTTATAATCCTTTGAGGTTAATCTCTGTAGTACATCTACAGTATTCATCTTTATGAAATAAAAGTACGTTGTTGATAAAAGTCAATTTCGGCATGATAACTCTAAACAGCATAGATGAGAGAATTTGTGACCTGACACTGGTGGTAGCTCGATGACTTTCTCCTCTGAAAATTAGTTTTCTTTTTATCTGTTGGAATGTCACTTTAGTAACAGTGCAACATTGTGTTACTGACCACTGAAGTTCTACTGCTGAAAATTATTTGCTCTTCAAGACCTTAATTATATGAAGCCAAGAAGTCAGAAATGTATTGCCTTCCTCTCATTCCAGGATTTCAGAGTACACTGGCAAGCACAGGAGGGGGTTTTGAGTGTAGTCCTTTTCTCACAAGCTGTTTGAAAAGATCGGGCAGCGCACAAAGTCCATGTTAAAACTATGTGAATGCATGCCCAGATTTCTTGGATTCCCACTCCTGTCCTAAAACCACATTGTGCAAGTGGTTATGTTCTTGTTTGGCAAACATGAAATTTAGTTACAAAGTTAGGAATTAGACTTGGTAACAACTATAGATTTTTCTCTTCCTGCTCAGCATCGAATGAGTAACCGGCCTGTGTCTGATGGGTGCAAATTGCAGTTCTGGGTGTCTCTTTCCTCTGGAGTAGACGTTTAGGAATTGCAATTTACCTCTTAACCGTTATTTTGTCATATTTGAAGCTAGTACTTACGTAATCAAAAGACCTAAATTCAGCAAATCTATTTACTTTGGAATATGTATTAATATTTAGTACCAAACAGATGTTGTTAGAAGGTGTATTATTGTTCACCAGTATGTAATGAAAAGCCCTCTTAAATCTTCTTCTGTAAAAGAAGTCTCTATTCTTCCGCTCTGCACCTGTCGGCTCCTGTTCCAGGGGTTAATTTGACACTCCAAATGTGCATCGTTATACTTCCGCAGTGTGACTGCATATTTTATTCCTAATTTACAAGTATGCATGAGTGAAAGAGAGAATGTGGGAATGATAAAGACTAGAACAAGACCAGAGAAACCTAAAACTAACATGGATGTATGCTATGTATAAAGCAATTAAAATGGTGCCATTTAAAACTTTTTATTTATAGCTCCTTTAGAGACTTTTTCTTGAAAGTACCGAGAGACTACTTGCTGTGGTGCTTGCCAAAGCAAGCTTATAATTATAGCAGCACTTGATGGACTTTGTGGGTAGTTGGGATTTCAGTCACTGTGAGTGCATCTTGGGAGGCATCTGCTCTGGAATTGTTCTTGTGGGAACGTGCTTTTGGGTGAACAGGAGTGACGCTGCTCAGAGACATTTTGCACAAATAACTCTTGCTGCAAACCATTATTTTGGAGTAAATGATAAACAGTTGTTAAGTAAATGATAAAATGTTGCTAAGCTAGTATAGCTTCTGTTTAAATTTTATCCAGCATTTTTCTTCCTTTTTAAAAAGTGGAATGAAACGAAGCTGCAGTTGATGAAAGTAGTAGAATCTCAATGCCCAAAGCAATTGCTGCTGCTTGTTCTTGGATGTCCTTCTTAAATAAATTCTTGAGTAAAATTATTCAAATTATTTCTGGTATTCACTTTTTAAGCATCTTAAGTTTTGAAGTGCCACATAAACCATGAATTTTGTTTTTAATAAGCTCTGTGTGTCCATGGCTTCATTTTCTTGCAGCGTGCACAATTTGGTTTGAGTGGTCTCCTCAATCCTTCTGTCAGTAAAATCCTTTTATAAGCAGCTCAGTATTGTATGCCCCATTTGCCCCATGCAGAATTCGTAGTGTGAGCTTAGCAGTTAAAAAAAAAAAGCATATGTTCTCTTTAATATTGTCCTGTCTCATTACATCTTGTGATTCTGACTGGTATTTCTCATCTGTTTTCAGATTAATGTTTCCCGCCTGTTGAAGTGCTCATGACCTCAGTAATCCTGTTAGCAATTCTGCTAGTCTCACATGCTGTTTGCTTATTTGTCTTAATAACATTTTTTTCATTACACTTCCAGTAGGCAGGTGAGCATCTGATGCAGTAGCAGTTCCCTGCTAATACACATTTTTGTCACACAGCACATCTGACAACAAAATAATGTCTATTGGATTTATTCCTTGCTTGGCTATTGTCTTGGGCTTGTGGGAAGCTGTGAATGGATGCTGAAAGCGTGCTTTGTACTGCATTGATAATCTTAATAGACTGATCATGCTGTACTGTATCTTTGACCCTTGGATGATTTTGCAACTGTTTTGTTTTGTTTTTTTTTTAAATTAGTCAATCTTTTTAAAAAGTTTTTCTGTAGAGCCTTTTAGGCTATCTTTGCAGTCCTTGGATGATTTTGCAACTGTTTTGTTTTGTTTGTTTTTCTTTTTTAAATTAGTCAATCTTTTAAAAAAGTTTTTCTGTAGAGCCTTTTAGGCTGTCTTTGCAGCATTTGCTTTTCTGATTCCTTAAATTAACTTCTAAAGTGGAACAGGAGCAGAAAAGTTTATTATGCAGGCCTTGACATCAGTGCCAGAGACTATTTGGTTCATAAAATTGTGACTGTATTCAAGTTTCATTGCTTTGGGATTACATTTGTTCTATTTGTTGTGAAATAGAATTTACTCATTCCACAGACCTCATGCTTTTTTCAGTGACATGAAGCATTTAAATGTCCTGAACAGGTGGACGGGTCTTCATCAGCTCCTCAAATTTCATTATACGTCATTCTTTAGTTTACCTTTTATTTGAGGAACTAGTTCTTCTCATGGCTTTGAGTAAGATTCAGTTTGAGTTTCTCATCTCTTCAACTGTCCATTTTTTAAAGAAATTTGACACAGACTAATGCTGGAAGTGAAGACTTCAGGAATGACACTTGAATTGATCATTAAATGTCAATCGTTTTTTTGTTCAACTTCTGTAGAAAAAATGTGCTCTTCTTAGAAGTGCTATAATATGGAAAAAGTTGAGTCATTAAGTCTTGTGTAATTTCAAGCACTGTAACTTCAAATATTATTATGAATACCTTAACATTTTTCAGTTTTAAACGAAGTATTTTTAAGACTTCCGCTTAAGTTTAGAGTAGTCCATAATTGCTAGATATCAGATGCCAAGGACAGGAAAGGATGTCACTCTGCGTTAGATGTAGGTAGGCCATAATACTGATTTATTTCTTATTTATACAGCTCAGGTACATAATGTTATGCCGGTATTTATTCATCTTTACACACATGAAATAATTTAAAAGTAAAGTTATTCAGAAAATCATTGTAGAAAGTTAGGCAGTTGCTTCCTCCTTCCCCTCCCTAGTCCTGTTGAGAGACGTTATGATACCTGGGGCAGGAGAGTTATTTAAAAGTAGTGTTTAAAAACACCAAAAAAACCTTGTCTGACTTAAGGAAGCTTTTTCTGTTACTCTGTCTGTTTGCCTGGAGTTCCTCCTTCTCCTCTTTATTTAATTTCAGTACAAGGTTCCTTTTCCTGGGATTTGTGCTCTTGAAAGGTTTACAGGTTTGTGTCCACTGGCTTCTTTCTCTCTAGAGGAAATGCACACGTTCTTCATTCTGAAGAAAGATCAAAGTTCACTCATAAAACTGGTCTTCCCAGACTGACTGCGCAACTGCTTTGAAATGAGAACATCAGCCTTACAAGCAGCAAAAATACAATCACCAGATCAAACTGAAGTAGCTTGAAGGAAGTAGTTTGCTCATTAAAATGGTGAAAGAGGAGAGGCATCGGAAACCATGAATCTTTATGCGCACAATCTTCTCTGGATGGCAGTTCAGAAGACAGCTAGTTAACAAAACTTGGGGTGATAGCAGGTGATTTGGTAAGAAGCTGGAAGCCAGTAATTAAGCTGTTAAATCATCTGTATTTTAGTTCCCTTCATAATTGTTAGAAAAAATATAAAATAGGGGGCCTTAGGCTTTCTGAAAGCAACAGCCTTAGCACCATTCAATCGTATGAGAAGAAGCAAATGGAAGCAACCAGTTTAGTTTAAATTATTTTGCATCGGATTCAAAAACGAGAAGAGAGGATTTTCTCTTTATTCTTGGAAAGGATTCAAGTTGAACACAAGCATAGGCCTGGAAGCTGGTTTAGGCTTAATGTGAGAATCTTGAGAAGACAAAACTATCACAAGTACAGTATCTTCGATTTTTCACAATTTGGAATAGAATTTTATTTTGGTTGATGTAGAATTTAGGACTCAGCATTATTCTTGATTTTTTTTAAAGTGGTTTAGCAAGAACAGGGTGTAAGAGAGTAAAACTTTGGTATTTGAAGAGCAGTATCTGGGGCCAAAGATGTGTTTAAGTGACATTGAGCCAATTTTGAATTTAGAATGTTAAAGCAGTGTGTAACTATTTTGAAAGGAAGTAATTTCTTTTGAAGACACTGTTGCTATGCTTGGAAAATATTTTCACCTGATGCACCTAGTCATCAGACTGCCAAGAACACCTGAATTCTGATCCTGCCCTTTTCTGGGGCTTTCAAATAGCTCATTTGGGTTTCCTCTTTTCCTGTTTCTGAGGTGTGGCTCTCCTGTATCCACCCACGAGTGTGAAAGGAAGAAAGCACTCTACTCTTCATGTTTGCTCTGAATTCAGTGCAACTCTCCGTAAATAAGATCTGTTATAGCTAAACAGGGATGGTGTGGGCTAGAAGGGGGATATTAATGTAGGTGGTCACAAAAAACGTACCAAACATTTTGTTGCTTTTGAGGGCAGCTTAATAGAATCAGCCTGTTGTGCCATGGGAAGACTGTCCCACTTGTTGATTCAGGCTGAAAATCTGAAATCAGATCCCTTTTTTTTTTTTTTTTTTTTTTTTTTTTTGTGTGTGTCTGAATATTTCAGTGAATCTAATGTGACAACCAGGGCAGACTTACCCAAACACTCAGCTTTCTCAAAGCTCATGAAGACTGTCTTGATAAAATCACATGCTTGTGTGTCTATGAGCAAACTCAGAATCTTACTGAATCTTGGTTTTCTGGGACTTGTCATTTGCTCTTTAAGAAGAATGTCTTTGGACTATGATATGTTAAGCTGGAAGATTAAGCTGAAAAACAATATTTTGGTATTAATCCAGGATTGATTTAACATAGTTGGGGAAGAATATTCTGGAGAAGCCACTGTAATTATGCAGTCCTAGGTTTTTGCATTTTAATAAGATGACATTTCTCTGCAGTCTTGTTGCATGTTACTGCTGGGATTCAAAGATTTGCTTTATCTGTTAATGTTCATCACGGGGGAATGGTAAGGGTGGTACATGAGGTGGGAATGAAGAAGCTTCTATATTAAATAATGAGTAGAAGTTCATGCAAAACACCTTCAAGTAGCAGGGGTTGAATGTAAAAATCTGATCTCATGCAGCTGTGACAGCCAACGGGTCAGACCTCACATAAATTTGTGACAAGAATTAGAAGAAAATTGGGTGACATAAGCTGCGCTTCTCTGCTGCTTAGCAGAAATGTCTAAGTGAGCACCCAGAGACTGGTTTCTATTCAGTAACCACTGCCGTACCACCCAGGTGAAACCTGCCTCTTGCTGGCAGTTCAGCGCAGTGGGAGCCCAGTTCCTGTTCTGATCGGGCAGAAGCTGTCCTGCCTGCAGGAGTGTTCCCGGGCACCTCTGTCCCTGCTCAAAGGAGAGAGGGGTTCTTAGGAGTCCGTGCCCACAACACAAACTCTTCAAGTAATTATAATTTCCAGCTTGGTGAAGAAAATTGTTTCATGAGCTCTCTGCTGCATGTGGAAAAAAAAGTGCAGGGAAGTGACTCCAGGTCAGTATTAATTCCTGTTCAGGAGCGAGTCATTCACAGGTGCTCATACCCAAAGGAAGAGATCTTTATTCTCAGGGCAGTTCCACTGAAGGTCTTTCCTCCATGAGCTTCAACAGTCCATTGTGGTTTTAGATTATATCAGCATGGTGTTTGTGGCATAGACCTCATTCCTTCTAGATTATATGCTTGTAAAATAGTATATTAGTAGAGCAGCAGTAAAAATACAGTTGGTAAGAAAAAGGATTTTGTGTATCAGAAAAAAAGAGATCATGGGAGAAGAGCGCAATAGCTGAAGCTAACCGTACCCACCAGTCAAACCCACCAAAACAGAAGACATCCCCACTGCTTGTAAAAGGTCCAAAAGTCTTGTTATTAGTTGCAGGTCCAATACCCTAGTACTAATTTCAACAGAGAGCTTACTTTTGTTGTTTAGAGGTTTTGAAAGTCTCATATTGTCTAAATAACCATTAGTCTTGCTTAATTTTTTCACTGTCATTTCATGCACTTTTTTTTTCCCAGGCCCAAAATGTTCAGCACAGCAAGGACATGACTCTTGCCAGCAACCGCAGTCTGGCAGAAGGCAATCTTTTGTACCAGCCAAAGTTGGAGTCTTTGAAATCAAATTTGACGGAAAAATATCGAGAGCTGCAAGTTCTTTTTGAAGCATACCAGATAAAGAAAACAAAACTAGGTAACATTTTCTGTTGATGATTGTGATTTGCTATTTTCTAAGTGAATGTAAAACTGTTGCATGTTTGTTTGGTTTTGGTGTCTCATTTTTAGCTGTGTGAATTAAGGTACAAAATGAAATGTTGTTCTCGTGTAGTTCTGAAATAGATCATGCTTCTAATGATTTATTAAGTATCTGTTACACCTAGCACTAGATACTGTAGACTCTTTCTATTACTGTGTGGTTACCTACTTACTGTTGACCTACTGTTCTCTAAACGATCAAATTTGTTTACCTTGCTAAAAAGCAAAACATAGTTTGAATTTTCAGTGATAAATCATAAATCAAATGGAGTATTGCATTTAACTTTCTCATTTCATACTGAATTATGAAGTTTTGTACGTCTGATGCTGCACTTGAAGTGCTTTGTCTTTCAATATTGTAAAGGTACCATTGTAAGTAAATTTCAGCTTTGAGCTCTGACGATATCCCTAAACTACTTAATATATTTTCTTACTGTAGATCATCCTGTCTAGAACAGTGGAGTCTGCTAGTTGTACATATGTGCCTTAGAAGTTTGTGTGCTTGCTGAGGCTGTATAGCTTCAGTTAGAAGTCACTTAGAGCCAGCTGTCACTTGCTGTTCTTTTTGTGCCGTTACAGACAGACAATCCAGTAATGCTTCGCTGGAGACACTGCTAGCACTGCTTCAGACGGAGGGGGCTAAGATTGAGGAAGACACAGAGGTAATGACAGTACCCTTCAATCCTGCCAATTATACCCATTACTAAAGACTTTGAATGTACATAGCTGCAGTATAGTGTAGTGGACTATACATGTAGTGGACTAAAGGGATATTTTTAAGAATATGGTCTGGTCTTTGCTTTGAACTTCAGTGAACAGTCATTTGGTTTCAGTGAGATTTTTTTTATCTTTGTATTTTTCAATTCTTAACATCTTTGAAGTTTAAAAGAGAAAATGTTCCTTTTTAGAAGAGAAAGCCAAATTCTCCTAGTTCTTCGGCACTGCCTTCAATCTCAGTGTATAAATGTGGAATATTTTTTTAAATTGTGTTTGCCTGGTATATTTATTCATCAGTTACAAATGTCAGTTAGTAACCTAATGAAAAACTGTGCCTGCACTGTTTCTTCTCCAGCATTTCTGGTGAAATATTCTGTTACGATTTCAGTGTCTGTCTAGGTGCCAGTAGTCACAACTCGCTGCGATACAAGTGCTTGAAGGGTGGTCTGTTTTCAGAATAGTGGAAGTGTTTGGGTTGGTTTGCTGATTTGCCTGTAGGACATGCTCTGTAACTACATAGCATGTTAGCATTGGGGGAAAATCTGCTTATCGGGCCTGAGTTGTGATCACAAACACACGTTCCCAGGACAAGTTGAATTTTGTGATTATATGTATGGTCACCTCTCTTAATTATTAAATATCATTTACCCAAAGCCACAAGTAAGTGAGAGTACTAAGCCTGGCTTAGCAATAATCTTCCTCTCTGTACTGAGGCTTGCAGAGTTCTCGGTGTTTCTGTTGGCATTGCAGGCCAGAACTGAGCTGTAATTCAGCTTAGCTGGCAATCTGGAAGGCTGTTGAACTTAATTTGTTCCCATCTCTGATGATCAGAGCTAGATTCAGATGTTCTTACTGCTTTTTCTTCAGTATAAATTTAAGCAAAAATGATGCTCAACTCCCAATGCTTCTGAGTAATAACTAATTCAAAATTCTGCTCAGAGTTCTTAGTATGCTATTCATCTTCCATATGCAAGCTGGAGAATCACAGGCAAAATTACGCTATTTTTAGGATACAAGCCATTTAGATTCTCTTGCAGTGTGCCATTTTCTAAGAGATTGTTCCATATTTGACAGAATATGGCAGAAAAATTTCTTGATGGTGAAATACCACTGGATTCCTTCATTGATGAGTACCAGAGCAAGCGTAAATTGGCTCACCTGCGACGTGTAAAAATTGAGAAGCTGCAAGAAATGGTGCTGAAGGGACAGAGACTTCCGCAGGTTCAGCCGCAGGCTCAGCCGAGAGCACCTGAGACAACACCAGCACCTCAAGATTCCTATACTTCGGATGCAAACACTCCTCCTTCAGTTGTGCCCCGACGAATACCACCCCCTCCACCTTCTTCAGTCCCAGCAGGACGCTTTCCTACTCCGTTTACTGCAGCCATGAGTTCAGGACCAGCTCTCTCTTATCCAGGTGCTCCGTATCCTCCTCTCCCCCCTCGACCAGGAGTTCAGTCTGCAAGTCAAATGCCACAGCCAGGATACCCATCTCAGTTTGTACCACAGTATCCTCCAGCTCTTCCCCAAAGACCACCTCGCCTTCCACCGCATCCTGGCTTTATCCTCCAGTGAATATTTTGGTGCGCCTAATTTATGTATTGGTGCTTATAGTTCCTTTTTCTCCCCATCAGAGACTTAATGTAGGCAATGGAAAGCCTCTGCTTTTTGCACAATGGAGTACAAAATCCAAGCTGTGGCACAGAGGTTTGCAATTGCATTTGGTAAATGTGATTATTTTTGTTTTCAAATATCAGTGACAACAAGGTTTTTCTAGGAAGGTGATAGGGTCTCAATTTTGTAAATCTGTCAAATTGTGAAAAAACATACAGTGGATTTCCTGACATGGCATATTGAATCACACTCTGAATTCTTTAGTGATGGTAAATCAGCGTCCTCTTTTGTTCTGATGTATTCTCATCACAGCTGGATGTATGTGTGGCAAACTGGGAGCTATTTGTCTCTCTAAAGAATTCTCTATCAGTACCAGTGTTTGGATAGAAACAACCATATCTGAATACTGGGCAAAGAGTTGCAATGGACTGCACGCATCAGCATCCTTTGCAGTGTGCCCAGACAACGGCATTTGTGGCCAGGTGCATAGCATTTTCAGAGCTCGCTGAGCTGAAACTCTTGTCAGAAAATGTTCTATGGCTTTTAGACTGTAAAAGTTACAAGAGTTTCATTTCTACATTTCAGTTATTACCTTAGACTTTTCATAATAAAAGTACACACTCCTCCCACTCCTAAACAGCTTGATAGACTGAAAGTCCTGGTCTCTTGAAATTCAGCTAAACTGTTTGTAGAGCCAGTTTAGGGTTTTATAGACTCTGTACCAGGCATTTTTATTTCCTTGCCTATTAAGACTCTTTCTTAGGGTTTTTTTTTCTTTTCCACACCTTGGATACAAAAGTGATTTTTTTACACAGGTGCTTAGTTTTTGATATCATGTGATTCCAGGAATCTAGGCAGGGTATTTTCTTAATCAAATACTGGGGTTTCACATGTAATTGCCCACTTGAAGCTCCGCAGTTTCATTTTATCCCTTAAAGTCAGTCTCTTGCTTGGCAGAACTATTTTTAACTTTTCCTATTTCCTTTAGTTTTGCAGTTTTTGGCATGCATATCTATCTGGAATTTGCAGTTAAGATTTCTCTGCAAGCAGGCAAAACAGAAAAGCCTTTTGAATTCCATGGTGGCTGTTTGCATCTTACATAATCCATTCTTGATTACTTCTTCCACTTGGGGGGGGGGGCAGTTTTTTTAAGGGAGCTCAGAGTTCATTCTCAACGTGACTCTTGAAGCCTAAGGTGCAGACACGGGCTGGTATTTTAATTTAGCATTGGGGGAAGCAAATCTTAACACTTGTTGCTTGTGCAGAATGTGTCCATAAATTCATTATCAATTTCTCACATCCGCAAACAACTTTCAACTAATTCATGGTAATTTAAGAAACTCACAGTCCAGAATCTGTCACAGCCCCTGCATTATTTCAAAACATTTTCATAATCATTATCCTGGAATGCACTACATTGTTTGGAAGTCTGTACTACAAACAGCATCAGTCAAAATAGAACATCTATTTTTTTTTTTACGTAAGGCCCTTGACTGTCCCTTAATCATTTCCTTTGGAGTGTGGTGGTTGCTAGCAAATACTAATCTGAAATTAAGCTCATAACAGGAAGCTCTCTATTCTGCAAATATGATTATTTGGCTTGTTTTGCCTTCTGAAGACAAAGGGCAGAAGGTTGGTCAGTGTTACTGGCATCTGAACCAATTCCCCAGTGTAAGTCTGGAAAGTTTCTATAGTGGGGGGATTTTGTGAAGCAATGTGCATTGGATTTGTTTGCAAAGTGTGTTTTTTCTGTAATCTAGTGATGGTACAGGATGTGTTTTTTTTTTTTTAAATAGTGTAATATCTTTTCTTGGTATTATTTTCTCACTGAAGCTTCATATAAGCATGGTTAATTATGACTTGTTTCCAAGTAATTTTGCTGTGCTATTAGTGCTGGTGTTTGGATGGCAACTGTTGTATCTGAGTGCTAAACGTAAGGCTGATGTAGAGATGATTTGTGTCCTAGAAAAAAATTAAAAGTTGGTGGGGGCTACCAGGGTGGTGACTGAGTACAGACGTTCGTACTTTGAGCCTGCTACACAAAAACTCTAAAACACTCTCAAAATAGTTTTGCTAACATTTAATAAAAACAACCAGGTATATTTTACACTTATCAAGTGCCAACTTTTTTTCCGAGGGCTGAAAATCCTCAGAAGTGATGGAGGTGATAGATAAGTGTATTGTGAATTTGCACTGCATTTTATGTATCTAACTTTATTGGTGGTAGTAGTCCAAAAATATTTTTACTACTTGTTACATTTCTGTCTTTTGGTAACTTTTGTGATAACATGACCTTTCAGGGATACTTTATCTAAAAACAAACTCTTGTGCAAACTAAATACAGACAAAGCTAATGCAATTTTTCTGTCTGAAAGCAGAACAATGCATTATTGCATATGCATGTGGCTGATGTGCCTTAGGATCACTACTTGTGATTGTAATACTAGGATATTAGCATTTTTATCATTTGAATGGCCATTGCTTAACTCTAATTTAAGGGCTCTTCAAGAGCACTTTTTTTTACAAAAAAAACTCACCCTCATACTTCAGAAAAAAACAAACGCTGTATCTGCTATTTGTAAGCTTATAGTTGCCTTCACTGATGGGTAAGTTTGAACATAGATAAAGTAACTAATGTGATGTTTCAGTTATAGCAATCTCGTAACTGAAATCCAGCTGCTCATGGAAAACGTTTTGCCATTAATTGTGTGTGTGTGCGCACAAACTGTAAATAAATACTTGACTGCTGGTGATGTTTAAAGGAGAAAGATGACTGTGGAAAGCTGTCTAAATCCTTTCAGAAACAAGTGTTACAAAACACTAACCTGAATGAGTTGGGCAAGAGAGGTGTCAGTGCTTTCGACCTGTTGCCCTTCGACAGCTTCTCCTGTTCTGTTATAGCTAATAAATTCTGCTATGGCTAGGATGTTTAGAATCATACTAATTTGCACTGTTTATAAAATAGTGAGATTAAAATGCCATAGGCAAGCTGAGACTTGAGAGGGAGTGACTCACTAGGCTTGCCAAAATATATATATATTATTATGTTGTCTTGAGGATTTGTAATGTGTGCTGCAAATAGCATATACTTCCCCAAAGCAATTGGAGTGCAGAAAAATCTTTTAAATACGATGCGTCACATGGCTTTAGAGTGTTGGTAGCGTTGAAAATGCTCTCTTTGGATGGCATTGCTTTTGCCAGTCTTTTGTATGCAGTTTTGTAAGTTGTGACTAATTCAGTTGTATGGGGTTAGGGTTGGTTGATCGATGATCAGCAAGGATGAGTTTCACTGCACTTCAGTGCTCTCTCCTAGAGGAAGTGGAGCCAGTGGTTCTAGCACAGCCGATCCAAGCCGGTCACCTTTGTAGCAGTGGCCCTGGAGGGACTATACAGAATATACGCTTTTATGTGATGCCAGGAGGCAGAGCCCTGGGCACAGTCCAGTCATGGGTAACCGTTACATTTAGTGCCCCAACTTCCACAACCTCAGTCTCGACCTCTTTTGGGAGTTCTCTGCCCTCTCAAACTGGAATAATGACAGATACAGAGCTCAAATCGACAATTCCTTTAGCCTGGACATAGAGCTACTTGGCAAACGTTGAGTTCTGAGGAGGTAGAGTCGTCCTGCACCTGAACAGTTCCTCTGTGTAATCCTGGACAGTCTGAAAAAGGGGCAATTTTATATGCCTAGCAAGTTGTGAAACGTACAGTGGATTTGTTTGCATAATAAGTCTTTCTGTAATCTACTGTGGTCTGATTTTAAATAAAATAGCATATCTCTCTTGGTCTTGTGTTTCTATTGTGGCTCATTTAATCACAGTGGAGTTATTTTCAATATTAATAGTGGGGTTTATGTAGTAATATAAAAACAGTTGTTGGCAAATGTAGAACATAAATTTGCAAGAAAATCACTTTATTCATAGTAAATCTGTCAGCCATGTTTTTAGTGACTGGATAGTGCGTCCATTTTGTGTGTTGCTAATCCAGGATAGATGTGCTTAGAGTAGATTCTGCACAGTGCAATCATGGCAACGAGGTAGGTGGGCTGTCTTGTCAGGTAGAACCCCTTTTGCTTTTGTTTTAGTTTCCTACCATTAGCTGGGAGTGTTCAGAATCTTCACCTGGAAAAGCTGAAGGAAGGGGGAAAGCCACTTTTATTTAAGAGAGGAAAAACTTAGATTTCAGCCAAGACGCGTTAGGAGAAATGAGTCAACCAAAGTTATTTAGGAATATGCTATGAGTCACAGGGCAGAAAAGACCTGATGTCATTTTCTGCGGTATCTGTTGCTTTAATAGCAATGTGAAATAGAAGTCCTACTGCAGAATAACTGGTAATATATGGAAGAAAATCCCTTTTCAAATTGTTTCTCAATACATTCCATTTGTGGTGGCTACAGAGATGTGATAACCTTCTGCTGATGCAGAAATAGGAAACTACAGCTGAGGAAAGCTTGCTGTGCTGACTCAGTGCAGGTGGGCGAGGGAAGGGGATGGTGTTATGTAAAAGCTGCAGCTCATGAACTCGGCTCTTCTAAGAATTTGCAGCAACGCCCGTGCTTGGCAGCTTGACGAAGGTGCATGCAAAACTTCAAGAAGTGCCTGTTCTGAAACAGGGGTTCAGATGGCCCTTCCCAGTGGCTCACGTGCACCAGGAGATTGTTCTGGGTGGGATGGTTCCCTGTACGAAGGGGAGGTAACCCAGTACGGTCAGACCTTGCCAGGTAACAAAAAAAGCGAAGTAACACAAAAAAACGCAAGTGGTGTGTCAGTGGCATGCTGGCAGTACTTCATGTGGTCTTGACTTGTCACTTCTCCTTGGAAGCTGGCTTTGGAGGCCATGCAAGCCTATGCAGATCCTTCAGTAGAGCTTGTTCCTGCAATTTCAGTCATCTTCAACCCTGATCCAAGTTTTTTATGGGTCCGTCTGTTCACCTCACTGAGAGTTTGTCACTAGAAATAAGATGTGTTGCTTTGAGTTGAGAGACTTTTGTCTCGACTGAAGTTTTAGAGCAGCCTCCCTCACTGAGACTGATGCCCCAGCTGACATCTTGTCCCTGAAGCCGGCTGTCCCTGGGCAGCCTATGGTGGCCTCTCAACCTCACCTGAAGCCCAATCTCCATCTCTCTCCCTACCTGCAGGACAAATCGCTGGCTGCTGAGGCCGGAAGACTTGCTGGTGCATACCTTGAACATTGGATCCTACGGTAAGCTAAAGGCTATCTTTTAGTACTACTTACTATCTCCAACCTGTTCAAGGGTGCTTTTTTCTGCACTGTGGAAATGCAATGATTTGGGCTGGTGTGTGTATTGGCTGTCTCACGCTACCAGATGTGGTAGATGGTTTGTAAGGGGAATACATACCATCTTTGTATTTTTCAGGTTTGATTTAAACTTGCATATCTAGGAGGCATTTGTTAAATGACTCTATTTGCTGATATTTCTCTATTTCTCAAGCAATTTTTCTGGTTGGGCTATTCAGGAAAAAAAAAAACCTCAATAAAAAATAGTACTGCCCAGCTGCATGTAACTGGTGCCTTAGTCACTGCTACCAGCAAGTTAGGGGCAGAAGGGAAATAAAATACCTTGCAAATGGGTGGCTGCTGTTCATGGCTTTAATCAAGAGCTCTTAAAAACATACTTTTACAGAAGCTTTTTTTACCTGACTTCCTAGAGCACCTAACAGCAGCGTGCTTGATTTCAGTGGACTTTCTTTTCCCCCAATGATGTGAGAGACACTTGTGGTTTGTAAACTTTGCTCTCTATAGCAGTGCTGTTACCAAACGTCAGCTGTTTTGTGTGCTCCTGTTCAAACTAATTTGTGGTTACTGGAGATTTGGCTGCTGAGGGAGCCAAAGGGTGGGAAAGGAGGGTTTTGATAACAGGCTGTTTGAAAGCTGCTTCAAGAAAAGTAAATTGTACTGTGCTAACATTGGTGGAAGGGAGCAGAATGCAGTATTTCACAATTTCCACTTGGTTATTTTCCATTTCTTCTGTCACAGGTACTGAGTAAAATTTGGTCTCAGTAGCACATCAAGTTAAAACATCTTCCTCTCCCCAGAGGTACAATAATTAGCAAATTGGCTCCTGGACAGCAGGATGGCTTGATGGAGTCTCAGAATAAACTTTTGCATACACAGTTTGTAGTTGTGGTATTTATGGGGTTTATTGTCTGCTAGAAATAGCAAATACTTTCTAGAAAGTATAGGAGTTAGTTAAAAAAAAAACTTAGCCTGGACAATAAGCTTAATTTTGGTATAAAAATCACTTCTTTAGCACACAGCACACTACTTTAAGTGGCTTTTGGAGCTTGTTTTTGTTTTTTGCTGATATCTTTTAAGACTTTGTATGTGCTGGCCTGGGTTGTTTTACCTGCAGCCTCTGTAAGTATTGATGTAGTGAACCACTGGCGGTGGTGAACAAGTTATGTTTATCCATAGCACCATTCTTAAAGCCACATTTTACTTTATTTTTTAATTCTTCAAACTTTAAATATAGCTGTGGCTAGACTTACGGTAGTGAGATTGAAAAGTTAGCATTCTTGATTCATCAGTATTTCCATTATGAAATGTAATGTTGCGAGTGGTTAGGACGACGTCAGTCTCCCAGCAAATACATCTTTATCACCATCTATAAATAGCCTGCGAGCTACTGTGGAAAGCACTTCCTTGTACCGAGAGAAAAGGTTTCTCAAAGAAACGAAACTCAGATGTAGGGAGCTGGCCACGGTCGCTGCTGTGTCGTAGTTGACTTTGCACTCGATGTGGCAGCAGTCACACAAGGGACACGGCCGGGTAACCCTCTCCCAGCTCTCCCCCGCCGCTGCTGTAGATACGAGGTTCTCTGTAGCTTCATGGAAAGGCTGAGAAGGATGTAAATCTTTGGGTTGGAGAAGACCTCAGTATAACTTGCAGGATTAGACCAGCTGCTTGCCTTGCCCAGTAACACCAGTATTAACACCAAAGCCTTTTAATGTGGAATGCAGTTTATACATACAGTTGGTTGGGAAATGAGAATTGTTGCTGGCTACGCTGCCTGTAGTAGTCGCTCATAAAACTCTAAGGTCTGTTTTGTGACATGGTTTTTGCTGTGGCTTGTATGAAATTTGATTGTAATTGGTTTGTGGGAAATCATAAGGAATTGGATGTAAATGTTGATTCTAGGCTTTTTTTGAAGGGACCTTCACAAATCTCGTAAGTACCAGGGAGCTGTGTCTGCCCTGTTGTGGGTATCCTCACTGAGCTCCGAATGCTTTCGGCTTCCCGTTCCTTTGATGGATCCAGGTTGCTCCAGGAGGTGCAGTGACACTCAGCCCTGCAGATACTCCCAGGTAAGTGTAGAATAAACAAACCCCACATTTCTTGCTGGTGTGTGCCAATTTTCTGACGAGCCCTGGCTGAAAGGCAGCACTGACCTTGCACCCATGCCGCTGCGGCTGGATTGCTTTTTATTTAAGCTACTTATGTTCAGTAAAGCTGCCAGTCACCCTGGTCACCAGTGAGAGCTGTGCGGTGATCATATGCAGCAAAAATTAATGTGCTCCTCTGCCCTGGGGAGCTGCTCAGGCTGGGGCATCTTGCCTTAGTGCTACAGGCATAGCGAGGGAGACAAATGCATAAATACAGACCTGTACACATGCATGCGCATATTTGTGTATCTATAAAAAATATGCAAACATACATATATATATAAGAATATATACATATATAGGCACGCACACACAGAGCCATACACACATAGATATATATAACCACATATCTAGAGACATGACTCATATATATATGTATGTATCTATAGATCTATTTATGCACACATATATCTAGATAGATATAGCCACGACCCGCTATAGCTATGTATATCTAGATCTACAGTGATACACACGTGTAGATCTAGATGTACATGTATAGAGCTAGATAGTTGTGGCTATACAAATACATATACATATGTATGTGCACAAAGAAAAAAGCACTATACACACAATATATAGTTTGACACATAGCTACATCTATATAGCTAGGTAGCTATAGAGCTAGAAATATATTTGTGTGTAGATCTATGTGTGTGTATATATATACACACACACACAGAGGTGTATGTACATACAAATATATATACACATATACCCATATATCTATGTGTCTGTGTGTATATATATATACACACACGCATATAGCCATATACACACACACACACACACACACACATACACACACCACCACATACCCACTCCCCCCCATGGGTGTCCCCACTCACCCCAACCTGCCCCAGTGCTTCAGCCAATTCCTTCGACGCACTTTATTGCCTTTCACTGCCCCACCATTCAGGATCGCCTTGCTTGAACCAGCAGAGCCCTGCACCATGGCCCCAGCCCTGCCATCGGCCCCCTCCCCACCCACAAGCTGACCAGGCACCGCAACACGTATTTTAAATATTGCTTCTTTAATAACCTACATCGTGGTAGTAGCTCCAAGGGAAGATACAGCTGACAGGATTTTTCTTCTGCCCCCGTGTCTCTCCACATCAGTAATTCTTTATTGCTGCAGACTTCTCTATCCCCTGGCTCCCGTAGGCCACGGTTAGATTTAATTCTGCTAATTATCTTAAATATAAAACATAATGCAACTGATCCCCTGACGTTGCTGTAGTAATAAAAAAATAGAAAAGGAAAAAAAAATACGTTTGTATCCTTATTGCCAGTGTGTGCCAGTAACTGCTTTTCCCCTTACAAAAGCCCTGCTCCTCCTGCCAGTTAAGGCTAACATCTCCCTGTCCACCGAGGGCCGATCCTGC